GATGGATGGATGGGAGAGTGTTGGGATTAGATAGCGATTTGACCTACGGAGGACAACTGCAAGACTACACAAGGACTCTTGACTGTGTATCCATGTTGTGACTCTGATTTGCACTCTCTCTGTGTGACACGTATGTCTTTCGATGTGTGACGTGACAATGACTATATAAACTGTGTACTGACTCCATTTTGTCAGAGAGAAAGAAACAATTGAAACCACTGGAACTTGAGAGAAACTTAAATAAACTTCCAGAGTTTGGCGCACCACGATCCGTCTCTGGGTTAGGGTTAGCCCGACAGCCCGAGATGGTCTTCAGGCTCCTCCAAACCCCTGCCACATTCTGTTGGCTCAGCTGTTCCTCCATCCTGTTCTTGTAGCGGGCCTTTGCAGTCCTGATGCTCAGCCTCAGTCTCAGCCTAGTTTTATGTATATATTTTTCTCAATTCACTTCACCAACTTAGACTATTGTTTTCTGATCCATCACATGAAATTCAGATTAAAAAAACATTGAACTAAATGCTGTAATGTAACAAAATAGGTAAAATTGGGGTGAATACTTTTGCAAGGCACTGTATGTTTCTATCTGCTACAGAGGCTGAGATTTCAATCTACAATTTTATATCTGGTGTCCTTTGACACCTCTTGGGTCTTGGCCATAGGGCAGTTTGGAGTGTGACTGTTTGAGGCTGTGGACAGGTGTCTTTCATGCTGATAACGAGTTCAAACAGGTGCCATTAATACAGGTGGAGTGATAATATTAATTCATACATTAATACATAATACAGGTGTAGTGATTAGTACAAGTGGAGGACAGAGGAGCCTCTTATAGAAGAAGTTCGAAGTCTGTGAGAGCCAGAAGTCATGCATGGTTGTAGGTGACCAAAAAACGTAATTTCACGTAATTTGCAAATTAATTCTTAACCTCTTAACATCCGCCTCATTTTGGCTCGTGCACAATGGTTGGGCATACCCAAATGTCTTTGCTTATTTAAAAACACATCTTACATCTCACATGCTTGTGTGATGCATCATTTTAAAGCTAGCGCCTTCTAGTTTATGTAAAAAAACACTAAAATAATGTTTGTTATTCCTATTTCCCTCTGCATCCTTTGAAGTTTGGGAAAAAAACCCAATTTTTTAGCCTCGCCTAACATTTTCAGTTTCTAAAGGCCCTAAAAAAGGCATACTTCATTGTAAGTTCACAATATTCAAACCCTGTGGTCATTGTGTTGTTGACAACAACTGTCTAAAGTTTCAGACTTCTAAGTTTTATAGTTTTTATGCAGTTTCTCCTTTTCATCAAGTAGTGCACACAATATCTTTACTTACATTTAATCATCATAAAAACAATATTTTCTTATTATTGGTACTTATAAGTTACTAATCTATGTGTGTTTTTTTTTTTAAATGTCAAAGTTATTTTTTTATGAGTGTAAATTCATTGCAGTTTCGAGAGCGTCTTTTGGCTTCCATTACGCACAATTGTCCAGGCACAACATAAGACAGGACACCATTGTCCCACCCCTTGCTCGAAAGCTTTCCTCATTGGCTACAAGGACATGTCAATCGAAAATCCCGGAAATGGAAGCAAACAAGTTGGGACCACAACAAAGATCAGTGATCCATGCGCAAACAGCAGCGCTGTTCGGGTGAAAAACAAAGCTAAAAGTCCGTTAAAAGTGAAAAAGCAACATCTGTGCTCGTTTTTTTCGTTTTTTTCGCTAAAGATAAATGCACATTTTTGGATTATTTCTGCAGAATGGATTTTACTTTGGGAAATACAAGTGGATATAATTTTGGACTGTTCCAGAGAGAATGATGTATTGCAAGCTGGGAGGAGAGCTGATTTTTTTGTACAGCACAAGCCCAAAGGTAAAAAACTATTTCGGAATTGATTTATTTTGTGCCCACATTATGTGTTATATCTTTTGAATGCAAAGTCTGATGTAGTTTACACTTGTAGATAAATGTAGATAAGAAAATAAGATTTAAAATGATATACAGCTTTTGGGGTTTGGTGTTCAAAATACATCTGCTATTGCCAGCAGAACATTTAAAAACATAAAAACGGCACGCCGGTTGCTGCAAAGAGGTTAAAAAAATTATATTTTTTAATATTTTGGGAAAACATCCCTAAACTCTAAAAGTAGTCAAGTTATCACGTGTTTTCAAATAGTATTGGAATTGACCAGATGCCTATAGTCTCCAAAAATGCGTAAAAAATATTTCGGAGCCGACCGATAAAAATAAACCAATGGGATTTGTTCATCCCCAACGAACCAATGGGATGCGTTTTTACCCCCCTTCACCCTCTTCCTGTTTTTTGCGAGTGCGCGTGTAAAAGTATTATATTATTGAGTTGAACTCTACCCAATTCACAATGCAAGTTTTTGTTTTGTCTAGCTCTGACCTTGCTCCTGCTGCTGCTGCCCAGAGACAGGAGGAGGCAGCTCTAAGACAAAATTGAATTTTATTTAAACCAAATCCAGTTTAGCTGGAGCTAAATTGTCTGATCTTTTGTTTTTATTTCATAAGTTGTTTTAATGTTTTTCCAAATTCATTTTCATTTTTATAGAGATTTTTCATAGTTTCATTTCATTTCATGGCGCCTTTCAAGAAACCCAAGGACGCATAGATAATTAAACACACAGTACAAAAGTACACAATTTAAAGTTTAAAAAGGTTTTTTTTGAGATTTGAGTCTTGTTTTTTGTTAAAGAGTTTCAGGTTTTAAAAAGTTTCACATTAGTAAGATAAGTCATTTTTATTTATATAGCTCATGTTGGAAAACCAAAGCGCTCCAAAATTGTTTAGACTTTAGAGAGAAAAACAATCTCACACGCGCACCTGAGTTATCGGATTTTCTAAAACCTAAAAGGGCTGAACAGAAAACGCCAATTTCACTTTTGCCACCCACTCTCCCTGTTTTGACAAAGAAAAGAAAATACTGGATGTTTAGGCTGAGTTTACACAGAGACAATGTGGCAGTAAAACAGTGTAGTTGGATGTCGGTTTCTACCAACCGTTCATACGAAGACTGTTCCAGGTGAAAACGTAAGTGTTCAGATCCAGCCTCAGAAACGCTGCACAGCGGGGGCTCTTTCACACCCCCACCTCCTGCTGCTCTGACCCCACCTCCTGCTGCTCTGACCCCACCTCCTGCTGCTCTGACCCCCACCTCCTGCTGCTCTGACCCCCAACTCCTGCTGCTCTGACTCCCACCTCCTGCTGCTCTGACCCCCACCTCCTGCTGCTCTGACCCCCACCTCCTGCTGCTCTGACCCCCACCTCCTGCTCTCTGACCCCCACCTCCTGCTGCTCTGACCCCCACCTCCTGCTGCTCTGACCCCCACCTCCTGCTGCTCTGACCCCCACCTCCTGCTGCTCTGACCCCCACCTCCTGCTGCTCTGACCCCCACCTCCTGCTGCTCTGACCCCCACCTCCTGCTGCTCTGACCCCCACCTCCTGCTGCTCTGACCCCCACCTCCTGCTGCTCTGACCCCCACCTCCTGCTGCTGCTGCTCTGACCCCCACCTCCTGCTGCTCTGACCCCACCCTGCTGCTCTGACCCCCCCTCCTGCTGCTCTGACCCCCACCTCCTGCTGCTCTGACCCCACCTCCTGCTGCTCTGACCCCCACCTCCTGCTGCTCTGACCCCCACCTCCTGCTGCTCTGACCCCCACCTCCTGCTGCTGCTGCTGACCCCCACCTCCTGCTGCTCTGACCCCCACCTCCTGCTGCTCTGACCCCCACCTCCTGCTGCTCTGACCCCCCCCTGCTGCTCTGACCCCACCTCCTGCTGCTCTGACCCCCACCTCCTGCTGCTCTGACCCCCACCTCCTGCTGCTCTGACCCCACCTCTGCTGCTCTGACCCCCACCTCCTGCTGCTCTGACCCCCACCTCCTGCTGCTCTGACCCCCTGGCTCTGACCCCACCTCCTGCTGCTCTGACCCCCACCTCCTGCTGCTCTGACCCCCACCTCCTGCTGCTCTGACCCCCACCTCCTGCTGCTCTGACCCCCACCTCCTGCTGCTCTGACCCCCACCTCCTGCTGCTCTGACCCCCACCTCCTGCTGCTCCCGCACGTACATTTGGACATGCGCAGTAGCGGAGAACAAACATAAACAACAATGGCAGCGGTCGCACTAACTAGCTTTGTGGGCTTCGAGCACAGCACAGAGGATAATTCTACTTTTTCGTTCGTCCAAACGAGACCACGCGAAGCTCTAGGTTCAGTTTCCATTTTCACAGCTGCTGTTAAAATGCAGAATGATGTTGGTGCGTTCTGAGGGTCTGGCACAGGAAGTGAGTACACTGCAGAGAGGGGGCTGGGCACGGGGCTGGGGGTCGTGTGAGTGTTGTAAAGTTTCTCTGCCCCCTACTGGCCGGGCGCTAGAACTACATCGTTTTTCAACCTCATGTGAACGCTGAGAAATTTGCATTAGGAGCCAGGTCCGTCCATCCATCCATCCATTTTCTACCCTTTAATCCATTTCTGGGTCAGGGGGGTGGCAGTCAGAGATGCCACCCAAGTCTCATAGCACCAGCCCCTCACTGACCCTCTGCAGGTGGTGAGTCCACAGGAGGCTGCTCTCTGAGTGTGAGCATAGCCTTGATCTTTCAGTGGGGGCTTTGGACAAAGTGGGGTTAAGTGTCTTGCCCAAGGACACAACGACAGCAGTCATCAGTGGGAGTCGGTGGAGAAGGTGTAGAGGTGGGAATTGAACCCACGACCTTCAGGCCTGAAGGCCAATGCTCTACCAACTGAGCTACTGTCGCCCAGGAGCCAGGTCGTTTCTGTTAATAGCCTGGAAACGTCTGCGCAGCGTCTCAGTATAAACAGGGCCTTAGTTTGGTGGAGAGGGGAGGGGGGGAGTGGTTTCTAGTTGGTGCTATAGCTAAGCAAACAAAATCGCTCACTGCACCGTTAAATGTAACCCTAATCACCGCACAACATGAGTCTCTCTCCTCCTAAACATATTTCCCTCTCTTCTTCAGGTGATTTACTGTGACTCGACGTGTCAGAAGCTGCATTGGTTCACTCATAAGAAAGTGTGTAAAACGCTGCAGGAGCAGAGAGAGCAGCGCGAGGCAGAGGCAGCCAAACTCCGACGGCAGCAAGGTAAAAACACCTGCCCAACTGGGTCAGGGTTTGCTTACCCTAAGGGTATCCTCAGGGTCAAAACTCCCCAACTCTATAAACCATCACCTTTGACTTATATTATATTTCTCTCTATTTGAAGCTGTATTTGTGCTTGCGAATACTATGGTCTAATTTGTTGTAAACCCTGACCCTTGGGGAAGCTGTACATAAATGCATTCCGGCTACAAAGAACACACGTGGCAACAACATTCAGGGAAGAAATAGATTTAAAACGCACTTCCGCCATCTTCTGTATATAGAGGGGCAATGCCAGTGTTGCAATCCGTTGAGCTTGTTCGGAGGAAAGGAATTAAACATAAAATCAAGATGTAATGTGGTTGAGGGTCAAAACCCCATAACTTTTGTAGTCACAGTAAGATTGCTTTGAAAAAGGGAGAGCGCTGGCCAAAAATGAACTGATCCACCAGAGTCTGGTAGAATACAGTAGGGGCGTTGTTCAGATGCTTCGCCTCTCAAGGATACTAGATACAGTTGCAAACCCAGATGCTCCAAATGCTTCGGGATAGTCAAATCCACGATACTCTGTCCTCTCAGCCTCTGATACCTCTGATAGCTTTTTTGGGTTTGGCGGTGAGTAGCTGGAGAGTCAGATTGGCTGAATCAGAAGACAGTTACCCATTCTCAGTCAAGGGGTGTAGAACTGGCAGACAGCACACGAAACTGGCGCATCACACATGTGTCCACATGTGTCCACATGTGGACACATGTGGACAGGCCTGGGCAGAACAGCATCACACATGTGTCCACATGTGTCCACATGTGGACACATGTGGACAGGCCTGGGCAGAACAGCATCACACATGTGTCCACATGTGGACACATGTGGACACATGTGGACAGGCCTGGGCAGAACAGCAGCACACATGTGGACACATGTGGACAGGCCTGGGCAGAACAGCAGCACACATGTGGACACATGTGGACAGGCCTGGGCAGAACAGCATCACACATGTGTCCACATGTGGACACATGTGGACACATGTGGACAGGCCTGGGCAGAACAGCATCACACATGTGTCCACATGTGTCCACATGTGGACACATGTGGACAGGCCTGGGCAGAACAGCATCACACATGTGGACACATGTGGACACATGTGGACAGGCCTGGGCAGAACAGCATCACACATGTGTCCACATGTGTCCACATGTGGACACATGTGGACAGGCCTGGGCAGAACAGCAGCACACATGTGGACACATGTGGACAGGCCTGGGCAGAACAGCATCACACATGTGTCCACATGTGTCCACATGTGGACACATGTGGACAGGCCTGGGCAGAACAGCATCACACATGTGGACACATGTGGACACATGTGGACAGGCCTGGGCAGAACAGCATCACACATGTGGACACATGTGGACACATGTGGACAGGCCTGGGCAGAACAGCATCACACATGTGTCCACATGTGTCCACATGTGGACACATGTGGACAGGCCTGGGCAGAACAGCATCACACATGTGTCCACATGTGTCCACATGTGGACACATGTGGACAGGCCTGGGCAGAACAGCATCACACATGTGGACACATGTGGACACATGTGGACACATGTGGACAGGCCTGGGCAGAACAGCAGCACACATGTGGACACATGTGGACACATGTGGACAGGCCTGGGCAGAACAGCAGCACACAACACAGGAGGGATGGAAGGAATTGCGCAGCCTTGTGCCAGTGGTTGTAACAGCTAACCCGTTTGCTCAATGGTAAAGTCTGGCCTCTATTGACTTTTTGTCAATGTTTTAATGCTCCAGATCAAAAAACAAATCGCTTTTCCAATGTTTTAGTGTCTCTTTTGTGTCACACTAAATCTGTGGTTTAGCACTCTCTGTGATCCGGGGTTAGGATTAGGGTAACCTCTCATTGCTCCTCGCTGCTCCTTGTTGGGCCCCACTGCTGCTCCTCCATCTTGCTCCTCGTTGGGCCCCACTGCTGCTCCTTCATCTTGCTCCTTGTTGGCCCCCACTGCTGCTCCTCCATCTTGCTCCTTGTTGGTCCTCACTGGTCTTCATTGTTCCCTGACCTAAATGTTGTCTCTGTTTCAGAACTCAGCCCGGCAGCACAGGAAGCCGTGGAGGCACTTTCTGTAAAAAGCAGCAGTGAAGGAAGAGAGCCAGCAGCTGTGAACTCTGTGGCCATTGTGGCTGCAGACAACTAAGACCCAAAAACAATAACACCATGGAGAAAGTATAATTATTTAGACTGTCGCTATGGAAACAGACTGAGACCAGTCTGGTTTGAGTGTTTGTGATTTATGTAATCATGGCTTTGATTTTTATCATTGTATAAACAAGTCACAAGACGGGAGTTTGAACAGAGATAAACACATTTATATAACATGATACAAACAAAAGCTGAAGCTAATAATACTACTTCTTTGATCTGTTGTTACCACTGGTCAAATTCCACTAAACGGTTCATAGGAAAAAGTAACCCGTCACATGCACTTCATTATGGTTATTATTTAAATGTGATACAGAAATGGTTTAAAGTGAATGAGCCATAAGGTCTTTGTTTTCATTGTTTGTCTTAGAGTCTGTGTCATTGAATAAAACAAACTGTGGAAGAAAATAAACATTTATCCACTATACTTATTATTATACCTAAGTAGTACTAGAATTTAATATGCTGCTATCCAGAATATATAACTACAATATGTGTTATTATAATATTTCGAGTGTTCATTTTGACATGTTCAGATGGATTATGTTAAAAAAACGGCTTTGAAGTGGCACCTTTTCACTTCCGCATAGAAACGCTAGGGGGCGCCAAAATGGCGGCGATGACGTAGGAGAAGGACCTCTCACAGCAGCAGCAGCAGTCTGGGCTGAATCTGTAGGAGGTTTCACTGTCATCTGAACAACGTATAAACATATTTACATCAGTTTGTACATAATAGTGTGAAACTCTTTTAGCCTTATGTGTGAGATTCAAGCTAATTAGTGTTGGGCAAGTTAGCTACTTGAAATCAAGATATCCTTAAACATGCTAACAAGGCTAATATTCGTTTTCACATCATGCCAGTCTCACTTTGGTTACCTTAGATTTATTTACCACAATGTACATTGTAATATCCATAAATGCTAATCAAAATAACTTGAATTAAATAAATATTTTACTTTTATGAACAAAAAGCTGCAGAAGTTGAAAACATAGACTACATGTGATGCAATCATTGATAAAAATGCTAATTAAACCGTTAATAGGTGTTAGCGTTTTTGAATATTACAATGTACATTGTGGTAAATAAATCTAAGGCAAAGTGAGACTGGCATAATGTAAAAACGAATATTAGCCTTGTTAGCATGTTTTATGATATCAAGTAGAGTTAGCTAACTTGCCCAACACTAATTAGCTTGAATCTCACAAATAAGGCTAAAAGGTTAAAAGAGTTTCACACTATTATGTACAAACTGATGAAAATATGTTTATACCTTGTTCAGATGACAGTGAAACCTCCTACAGATTCAGCCCAGACTGCTGCTGCTGCTGTGAGAGGTCCTTCTCCTACGTCATCGCCGACATTTTGGCTCCCCCTAGCGTTTCTATGCGGAAGTGAAAAGGTGCCACTTCAGAGCAGTTTTTTTTTAACATAATTCATCTGAACATGTCAAAATGAACACCCGAAATATTATAAACACATATTGTAGTTATATATTCTGGATAGCAGCATATTACATTCTAGTACTACTTTAATAGACAGAATTTTAATGTACAGAAATGAATCTGATAACTCTGCCTCAAGAATCTGTTGCAAAAGTGGACCTCTTGAGAACTTTGTGTGGAGCCGGATTGCGCATACCAAAAAGAATAGTTTTAGGTCAGAAAGTGACTAACCTACTACAGACGATGTATAAGTAATAACATCTTGTGGAGAGACGGGAGCAGCACAAAACATCTGAATTCATGGCCTTAAGTAGCATTTGTGACAATAAAAGAAACAATCCTCACTCTGCTGTGTTTATGAATTCTAGTTCTGTTACAGAACCCACACTACATGTACAACATCACCTGAGCCTATGTTGTACATACACATGCACAGTGATATTGGAATGTAACTTAAGTTATCATTTTGGTAAATCATATGTGGCTATATGCTGAATGCGCTATTCTGTAATTCACTTCAGCTCCAGCAAAACTCCACGAGGTCTGGGGAGCTCATATGTTAAACACAGCATTCTTTGTTTACGCTAATACAAAGTGTCTTTTGTTGTGTTGGTTTCTTCCTTTCCCATCTGCATACGAAGGTGTGTCTTGCTCTACCAAAAGGGAATTGCCATCTGTGAATCATCAGACTTGTCCTGAGAGAGGCTGGGGTCTGTGCCTTGCCTCTGTCAAGACATTCTCCTTGTACAATGTAACAAGTAAAAGATTAACTTTGTCTCTTTGTTGTGTGAGATTTCATCAGGTTCAACTGTAGCTGAAACAGCATTATCACTTGGTCCTTCGAGCCGGATCCCAACACTTCTTACAGGAGCTGAGCTTGTCTCAAACATGGACTTCCAGGAGCAACAACAAGGCCTTCTGCATTCGGAACTGCATTGGAACTCCAGGTTTGAGGCAGGACAGCCCTGGGTTGGAGTCAACGGGAGAACTACAGTTTTTTCCTGATGAAATTGCAACAAAGGCAAGTTCTAAACACTAAATTATGTCCAAAAGTAATCCAGGAAGTAGTGTGAAGTTCACATGAACACGTTCATTTAGGATAACGCAGAGTTATGCCTTTAGTCAAGGACTTTTACAGAGCTCGAATGAACGGGGTTTCATTCAAAAGGGTATTTTACTTTTTGAGTCGGGGATTCAAATTAAAAAAGGCCTGGGATAACGGGGATTATCCTTTTTAAATAGTCGGGGACTATATTGCAGACAGTCGAGGCCGGGATAACGGGGTTTATCTTTAGATAGTCGGGGACTATCATAGACTGTATAATAACGGGGTTATTATTAAGAGTAAGTCGGGGACTACTTTTTACTGCAGTTAAAAGTGAACGGGGTTCATTTTGAATTAAAGAACGCAGAGTTACGCCTGTATAATGAATGTGTTAGAATTGAATTACTTCGGACTGAACTTCTACATCACTTCTAAACTGAAATTGGACATTTAAAGATATCTCAATACACTAAATTGAAGATGGATGTTTAAAGACCTTTAAAATTACTCAAAATTTGGAATTGGACATTGTAAACACACCTAAAAAAAAAAAGTTAAATTGCAAGCATTGTGTAGGGCGGCCATTTTGGGTGGCCATGTGGTCCTTTGTCCTCTGGCCATGTGTTTTTTTGTTTGTCTGTGTCCTTCTTTGTTCTGTGAGTCCTCTTCGTTTTCCTTTGTCAAAGTTTTCTTGGTTTAGAATTACCCTTCACCTTATGTTTTGATTCTGAAATGTCTTAACAAATGTGCTTCTTGTTTTTGAGAAAAATGCCACATCCCTGCCAAAGCTTCAAAGCAACAAAATCCACCTATTTCCATTGTGGGACAGAAATCCCACCCCCACCTCCATCTCCATACAGCCATCGACACCTACGAAACGACCCTCCACACAATCCCCCCCCCCGCACCGGAAGCTGCTGACAAATAATCACGGGCCGATTTGCAAGGATCAAAGCGCGCAGGCCCATGGAGGGCGCTGGCCGTTCGTTCAAGTTAAATGGACGTGAGAATTGAAGGTGACAACTTGGTACATTTGTGACTTGAAAGTTCAGCTTTGTGTCGTTGTTGGAGAATGGCTTGCTGCTAGTCTTGCGTCGGAAACGCAGACAGAGAAGAGTTTCGAAACAGGAACAGAGTGGACATTTCTGGTCATAACCAAACATGAGGAGGGGTCGAGAGGACGTGTCAAATGGACTGACTATGGACTGTGAAAATGGACTTTGGGTTTTCGGGCTTTTGGGCGTGTGCGTGGTGTTGAATTTGATAACCAAAGTTAATACATTTAAAGTTAATACATTTCAGAGTTAATGCATTGTTCAGTTTTGAGCCATGTTATGTCTCAACAGGGGGAATAGTTTATGGAACAACAATGTGAAATTATACTATGAACATTTTTTTCTTTTTCAGTTTGGATGTGTGTTTTTTCATTTTCAGTTCTCCATGTTCTCCATGTTTAAACATAGATTGTTTGATTTATCAAAAGGATAAAAAGGAGGGAATATGATATTGGAATGTAACTTAAGTTATCATTTTGGTAAATCATATGTGGCTATATGCTGAATGCGCTATTCTGTAATTCACTTCAGCTCCAGCAAAACTCCACGAGGTCTGGGGAGCTCATATGTTAAACACAGCATTCTTTGTTTACGCTAATACAAAGTGTCTTTTGTTGTGTGGGGTTCTTCCTTTCCCATCTGCATACGAAGGTGTGTCTTGCTCTACCAAAAGGGAATTGCCATCTGTGAATCATCAGACTTGTCCTGAGAGAGGCTGGGGTCTGTGCCTTGCCTCTGTCAAGACATTCTCCTTGTATAATGTAACAAGTAAAAGATTAACTTTGTCTCTTTGTTGTGTGAAATTTCATCAGGATCAACTGTAGCTGAAACAGCATTATCACACAGCCAGCGCAGGACAGCATTTCACTTAAAGCTGGAGAGACTCATTTTATCCCAACAGTCTTATTAAAGGAACAATATGTAATTAAAGCCGCAAGCGGCATCGAACGCCCCTCGCCGCACTGTGCAAAGGAGATGGTGCCGCCGCGCCATGATTTGCTCCCGTAGCCATAGAACAATGTTTGTGAAATTGTAATGAATATGATTAGTCGGTTTGGCTCCTGTTAAAAAGGGGTTCTACTACAGTTATCTGGACAAATGCACTCAACAGACAAGGGATTAGTTTTTTACTTCCATGTAACAAGGAGATGTCTTAACGGCTGGCAAGGAGGCCTCTGCGTCCTACCCAGCCAAAAGCCAAGTCCTGCTTGATGGCAGGCAGGTTATTTATTTCAGAACAGATAACCCACACCCTCACAACGGAAAAGCCCCAAAATAGGTGAAGTTACACATTAACCACTTGTTGGACAACGTCTTGCAACATAGTTTCACAAATCACCCCATTGTGGACAATGTGGATAATTATTAGCTTGGTTTCAACACCTCAATGGTAGATTTCCCCACTCCAATGTAGGTGAAACCAAAAATTGTCTAGACTGAATATATTAACAT